AATCTATGTCTCAAGTGGTCCTTTGAAATATAATAGAAAAAGAGCTTCTAAACTATTTTTGATTTAACATGTTAAACTTTAAAGAGACGTGACCAAGTTTCAAGAAATTGGTACTAAAAAAAGTAACAGAAGTTTTGAAATTAGATTCATGATTTTATAATTTTTATTCAAAAGAAAAATAATTAACATTAAGAATGTTTAGCTTATATGAATGGTATCCCAAATCTTAATACATAATCACTGATGGTTTCTTCTATACAGTATTACAATATTGTGTTTTACAAACCCCAACATTACTTTACAAACATTTTAAAAATGATAAGGTGTAAAATATCAATGAATTTTGTCAAATCATAACCCATCTGTTTACTAATAACATCCTTAAATAGATAAATTAATTTGGTTATCAAAATTATAAGGAATCAAGAGCTACCAGTCACGAAGACTTACATAAGGTTATGCATAAATAGTTTGTTTCCGTCCATACATCCATACATCCATACCACATTGCTGATTTTACACAGTCGCCGATCAAAAGATTCTCTCTTCGGTTAAAATCTCTTCTGAAAGAATAAATCGTTAATCACTGATTCATATAGTGCCCATTCAGTAAATCATTTCAACAAGAGAACTTAGTAGTAAACGTGGTACAAATTAGAAGTTATTTCTAAAAAAATACTTTTGAATCAATGACAAAATCCTTATTCAATTTATGGAAAAATTAAATCCGATAATTCTGGAATAAGTCGAATATAGGAAATGACACCTAAATAAATATAGCATAATGTTAAAATTCTATAAATTACAACAATATAATTTAACCCTAACACCCCTAAACCTAACCCTAACCTGACCCTAACCCTACCAACAAATCCCTAAAATCAACAATAACAACTCGTCATACGCGTGTTAAACAATGTAACCACACACCACACTGGTTTCTGACGTGCCCGATGTTCTAGATAGAGAAAATGAAAAATAACGTGATGCAGTTGAAAAATATAAATGATCAAGGTTATTACCATGAACTGATGGCAAGAGTAAAATTTCTGATTTTAGGATGCTTTCGAAAAATAAATATTGACGCGCAATTATTAACTGAATCCTGTTAATAATTAATGAAAAGATGCTGAGAATATTTAATTCTCATTTAATTATTATTGTTGTTATAAATGCTTTTTCAATTTTTTTTTTTTTTTGAAATTAAAAAAAAAAATACTAAAAAGAAATGATTTATTATGAATATAATTTCAATGTACAATAATACAATATGATAAACATCTCAACTAAATCAAATTTTGGGAGTGTTTCCTCTTATGAGCTAACAAGCTACCATGGCTAGTATATTTTTTGCCGCAATCTTGTATCTCACAAATGTAAGGGCTTTCACCTCTATGTAACCTCTTATGATAAAATAAGCTGGTATAAACTTTAAAACTCCTGTCGCATCCTGATTCATTACACACGTAAGGTTTCTCATTAGTATGGACTTTCTGATGTGTTGTCAAATGACCTGACCGTGCAAATTTCTTTCCACAACCTGGTTCTAAACATACGTAAGGATTATTGCTTTCGTGTATTCTCCTATGTGTTAACAAGCTGTTTAAATACGCGTATCTTTTGTTACATCCTGGATGTTTACATTCGTAGGGTTTATCATTCGCGCTCCAATTTCTAGTCGAGGCCTCATAATATTCGCTATCATCGCTTTCGATTTCGTCGTTGCTTTCCTCAAGCGAAGCATAAATGATCTTTTCTTTAATGATGTCACCTTTCTTTCTTTTGTTACCGTCGTCTTTACTTGTTTTTTTATCAGGAATTTTCCTTGAATTGGTCTTTTTATTACGCTTAACCACTGGAGTTTTTTTACGTGAGGATCTTCTTGGTCGCTTGGCTGCTTTTTTGTTCACGGAGCCCACGTACTTGGTGTCGCTATTGCCTTCGCCAATGTATTCTTTGGGATCATCGATAACGCTTTCATTGATATCTTTTTCGATTTCTACTTTTTCTACCTTTATCTCCTTTAATTCCATGCCTTCTCTTTCGTTGTCCTGAGAAATTTTAAATAAATTAATGATACGTAAAGCAAAAGAAAATAAATTTTTTTTTTTTGCTTACAATCTCATTTAAAGGATGGATTTTATCATCCTTTAAAGGTGAGAGATCAGAATTTTCTGTATCCATATTCATCGATTCGTCTTGTATAGTGGAATCGGATAATGTATCATCATCATGTACTGAATTATCATAAGGTTCATTAGAAGTTTGCAAGGAATCATCATTTTTCCTATTAGAATTAAGTGAATTCCGAGCTAATGAAATAAAATAGATTAAAATTATTATTTAGCATTATTAAGTAATTTATTTTATCTTTCTTTCATATTTTTTTCTAATTTATTTGCAAACTGTTTAATTGATACCTAGATTGTATTGTTTTACGGAAAACCTTGCAACGTAGAAGTCGGGAACATCACTCATATTTGCAAAGTTTTAATTATAATAAAAAAAAATTAAAAAAAAAAAAGAAATTTTTTTTTGGCCCAAGAAGAGTATGGATTAACAAGGGCGGATGGTGTATAATTGCGTTAACTTACTGGGTAATGATCGTCAAACAAATCCTCTTATTGGAAAACCTATAATACTTCGCAAATTTACGCAAGAAAAATTATTTCATAATAATATTTTTCTTTTTGAAAAACAAATTGAGAAAAATTATGTAAAAATTCAAAATCCTTTTTCATCTTCATTTTCATATTCATTTTTTTTTTTTTTAATGTCTGAACACGTCGAATTATTTAATTCGCGTAAATCATCACTTGGATCATTATATTAGCGGATCTAATGTTTCAATGTTGGCCAAATTTTGTGGTCCGAGATTAAATTATTTTATCAGCTAATTAATTTTTCAAATCGTAGGATTCTTCTGTTAATGATGTTCCTTCATTAATTTTTTTTTCATTTTTTTTCATTTTTTTCAATTTTTTTTTTTTTTTTTTTTTTTTGATATTTTTGAGTCAGGTACCTAGAATTTAAATTAATTTTTGCTAGTAAAATTTTGAATTGAGACTCTCATTGAATTTGGGTTATTTGGCATGAGTGATAAAATTATTAAATAAAAAGAGTAAAGTTTCCAGAATAGGTGTTGACACATTGATATATTTTAATAGGAACTTCGTGGATAACACTTTAATTGATTTGATTATAAAGAATAACACCTGTATCGCTTTTTTTGAATGGGATTTCTGGTATGTTATCAAGTAATGTCAACTTGTACTTCCTAATAATCATATTTCATATGAAATATTCCCTCTATTTTTTTTTTTTTAAAAAAAAAAAGAACCCCCTCAGGATGTTCTTTCCGCGTGTTACTAAACTCTTTTTTCCACATTCCAGTGCTTTGCATCTTATATCCAAATTAGTGCGTAAATTTGTTTCACAGAGAATTTTCTTATGTCGTGTCGTTTTTCTTTCTGCATTGTTAAAGTATTGATTTCGCACCATATCCTTGTTTTATACAAACGAAAGGAGATTCACCGAATATAATTTCCTTTGAAAAAAAAAAACCTATTCTATGACAACCCTATATAATCCACATGCAGTATGAATTACTTTTACTAAATTCTCAGGTTCGTCAATATGAGCACTTGTATCGGTTGTCAAAACGTAGTCGAGAGTGAACTTCTAATTAAAAAGAAAGTAAAGGATTTCTTTCAATATTGTCCGTATGATTATCATCAAAATTTTCGCCTTCATGATCGATCCTGAATATTTTTTTTTTAAGTTTATTTTCTTCATTATAAAATCCTTTTTATTATCACCACATTCTTTAATGGATGTCAATCATAGTTTTCATCCATTTTATTATTATCAATCAATTCATCCATAATTTGTTTCTGGAGCAAATTTTTACATTAATTTTTAAAAGGTAAAAAAGAGTCATTAAAAAGAAAAAAAGGATTATTTATCAACTTACATTATTTCTGTAAAAATCATCGTCCACGAATGTACGATCAATTAAAGAAGGTTGATAATATTTCATTCTCAAAGATTCATCATGACGTCTCGTGAATTATCAGACATATTACCCCAATTCTGACCTACTCGAAGGATAAAAAAAGATTATAAATATTCAAACTTTTTTTTTTTTTTTTATGATAATCCAATTAATTTTAATTTCAAATAAAATTTCAAACACCTAAATTATATCCTGTAAATAACCAATGAAACATTTAAGGAGTAAGGAGGAAAAAAAAAAAAATCTGGATCATCGCAAATATTTATTTTTGGATTCTGTGCTACCAAGTGGCGCCAATGCGTTTTTTTAAGATAAATATATGTTTCGAATAACAACTGATGAGGAGTTATGAGAAATCAATTTGTTGATTTATAAAGGATTTAAAAAATTTATGAAAGTTGTAAGTAAAGCATCTGAAGTTCTATTCTAATGTTGATTAAAAGATGAATTCCTTAATTAAAGGGTAATCTGAGTGGTTACAACGAGAGTTGCAACCAATCTCAAAAAATCACATGAATAATTTTCGTTATTTCAATCTCTTCATATGTAAGAAGAAATGTATAATCTGTCTGTAATTATAAGGATGCATCTTTCAAAATCCGAAACTCATCATATTTCTCAAATATATCTTAACATTCAGGTTTAAATTTGAATTTGAATTTGGGACAATTGTTGTAGTTATCCATCTTTACAAAGTCTATCATTTTTCCTTGGAACAATCAAGATACAATTTGGCACCTAAATCTGTTATAAAATCCTAGTGGGGATATAAAAAAATCATGCTCAATAAATAAAATAAATAAATAAACTTTAAGAGCTTTAAATTTTTTTTCAAAATTCACTGTTTCATTATCTGTATATATAAATAAAGCTATTTATTTAAAATATCGCAATATTATCCTTAAAAATTCAAGTCTAATCTGAGATAAAATAATCGGATCAAGTCGAATCTGAGTTTACAGGATTTGAATTCCGTAATATTAACGGATTTGAGTTTGAAAACCTGACCCATACGCGGTGTTGTCATGGGACATGGACGCGGACTTTGGACGTCGCGAACGCGTTCGGAAATTTTAATGTCCCGGAATTTTGTCTGCGATATATTCACGTGATACCGATTAAATTTTTAAAATCTTTTTTGTTTTTTATAAATATTCTTAATCATACTCATAATTTAAATAATAAGAGCTTTATTTATTTATTTTTTTTTTACTAATAAATTCAATTTCAAAATAAAAACTTATACATTTTCACTGAAATAGTTTCTTTAAAAAGAGTAATAGGGGCTATTTTGTTTAGTATTATTTTCATCCTATATCATCGCCATTTAAAAAATTAATGCATTTAATTAAAATTGTATTCTAATGGCTATAGGTATTTTGGTTACCCTATATATTTACTCAATATGATAATCAGATTCTATAATATATTTTTTGTGATAATCAATTTACTTTTTTTTAATAATATAATAGAAATACTAAATTCTAGTCTTAATATTACTTTATACTATACTGTTAAAATTTTTTATAATAATAATATTAATAGTTATGATATATATAAAAAAATAATATTTGATTGAAAATAACAAAAAAAAAAAAAATAGATTTAAATGATAAAAAAAACATTACTGAAATGAAAAACAAAAACAAGTAGTATAATTAAATAAACTAAAATTTGTTCTTTTTAAATTAGATGGTTATATAAACATTTTAGTAAAGTTTATAATAAAAATTGTATTCAACTTACAATGAAATTTAATAGAAATTCAATGATATGTTAGGATTATTTTAATTGATATAAAATCTAATTTTTAATTATAATAAAAATTTAATGATATTAAAATTCTGAATGGTTTAAATTAAAGCTCCAAACGGTTCAGATTAATCCAAAGATTTTTCAGATCGGTTCGGTTCAGATCAGTTTCAGATTGCATAAAAATCGATCTGAAAATTTTCAGTTCAGTTCGGATTTTTTTCGAATTATAATTCTAATCTGAATTGAAAAAATCTGAACTGAATCGATAATTTCAGATTAATCTGAAAGTTCAGTTCAATTATATGCGAAACTCTTGGAGGATCGCAAAATTTGTAAATTCTCTAAGAAGATCGCAAAAATTTAGCAAAACTCTTAGAGAATCACAATTTTTTGCAGTTTCTCTTCAAATTTTGCAAAAAAATTGCGAAAACCTTAGAAAATCGCAATTTTTTGTGATTTCTCTTAGAATTTCGCATATAAATTGCAGATTTCTTATATAATCAAACCGTAATTTTGGATTAATCTGAAAATTCTGGTTCAGTTCAGATTTTTACTAGTCTGCGGTTCAGTTTAGATTCAGATTGGCATTTTTAAGATTAATAATCTGAACTGAACTGAACTGAAATTTTTGGTTCGAATATGAATTGGCATCTGAACTGAACTGTTCAGAGCTTTAGTTTAAATTAACCTAAAAATTTTCAGTTTAAATCAACTTTGATTTAGTTTCAGATTACATAAAATCAATTGAAAAATTACAGATTTTTCAGATTATAATTTTAATTTTAAATTGAAAAAATTTGAATTGAATGAAAATTTTAAAACTTTTGGTTGATTCATTCTAATTAAAATAAAAGAAAATATGAATTTTAATGATATTAAAACTCTAAATAGTTTAGATTAATCTAAAAATTTCAGTTTAAATCAACTTTGATTTAGTTTCAGATTACATAAAAATTAATTGAAAAATTTCAGATTTTTTAGATTATAATTTTAATCTAAACTGAAAAGATTTGAATTAAATTAAAAATTTTAAATTAATTTAAAAATATTAATTAATTAAAATAATTAAAATTATTAGTTTAATCAAATGATAAAAAGATTGTTCAATTAGAATAATCAAACTTATCATTTAAATTATCATTCTATATTGTTACTGTGGAATTCTTCAACTCAGGGTGGTCATGTTATCAAGTCTCTACTCAAAATTACTAACTGCAGTTTATTACGGTCAAGATGTTAGGATTTGTCTAACTCTTAACTCTACCAAATTTATGCGTTAGACTTAAACAAACTTATCAAGTATGAAGACTTGAAAGATGAGATTAGATACAATTTTAATTAAAGAATTCAAATGATGAACTCAATTACAAATAATGTGTAGAGATTATGTCAGACTATATGAAGATATGAAGAGGCAGAAAAATATAAATTTTAATTGATTCCTTTATTAATATTGAAACTCATATTCGCAAGAGAATTAATTTACAACATAAGCAAAAAGTCTATCTATTTATACAAAATTTCTTTTGTCACAGCTAACTAATTACTATGCTATAAACTAACTAATTTAGCAAAATAAATATAAGTAAAATAAATATATTGAGAATGATAAAGATACGTAAAATAATAAAAATATAAAATAAAATAAAAATAACAATAAAATTTAGAATATTAAAAATACGTATAACACTAAATATTCTTAGATTTCATTTAATTCATAAAATTAGGATTATTATTAGTATTTAGAAGATCTTTAGAATTATATAGATTCTCCATATTTTTAGAATTCGCAGAATTCTCAGTATTTTTAGAATTCTGGATTAAGAGATTGTTATACTACATCATTTATGTGACTTCAATATGACTGGTTAATTGCTCCATTAACAATTCTTCCTCTACTTGAATTTCGAACATTATAGTAAGAAATAATTTCATCTTTAAAATCAAATTCTGAATTTCAATTTTTATGAGACGTTTCATTTGTGTGATCGTCAATGTTTTAGTTCTGAGCAATTGAGTTATTCCAATTTCTGAAAATAAATAAAAGTCTTATTTGATACTTCATATTGATATAAACTTAGTACTAATTTTACTTATTTATAATCTACATCTTTCAATGAGTCTAAAAGTTCTCCAATGAAATACATATTCATTAACATTCCAAGTCTATTCTTCAAATTTTTGCAATGTCGAAGTTGTTATTGCAATTTTTGAGCTTTAGTTCGAGGGTTATCCATTTTATGATAAAGTTTATTTTACTCAGATATAAGGGTGGATTCCAATTAAATGAGATAGTTAAAGAGATTTTTCATTATTTGTTGAATTTTCAAGAACTTGAGGTCTATTTATATTCATTTGAAATTATTGCTTATATAATCAGTATCATTGGTTCCCATAATTGTCATTCATGATATAATTTCAGTAGATTACTATTTACTGGTTTAGTTAAAAAATGTCTATCTATTTCCTTAGATGATAAGATCTATTTATCAAATCTCATGAATTCGATAAGGTCTTTTTTATTTAGGTTCTAGTTTGCCAGAGAATTGATTGATTTGTGTAGTATCATAGTACAAAACTTTTTGTCCTATATCAAATGATATTGGTTTAGCCAATTTTTGTCATGTGCTATTTTTTGTTTATTCTTTATAACAATCATTGTTTATTTTGCTTTTTCTCTGATGTCAGGTAATTTTTCTATAATTTGTCAAATTCTATTGATCAAATTTTTATTTTCTTGATTAATATGATCATCAAGAGGTAGTTTGCTTCTCTTCCATATGTCAATAGAAAAGGTGTCATTTTGGTAGTTGATTGTTACAGTAGCGGTCATAAGTATCTGACCACCTGAGATTGTCCAAAATTATTATATAACTACCTCTTAAATTTTCCAGAAATATAATATAACACAATACATGATCACCTGTAAATT